CCTCTATTATGGTATCTATTTCTTGCTCTCTTCTATTCTTCCCCTGACTCAATCTTCCTGTTCTCTCCAGTCCTTCTCTCCCCTCCTCTTCTTCCCATCTCTTTCCTCTAACTCCCTCTCCCCTCCCCCCATGCTCCCAATTAGCTCAGGAGATCTTGTCCTTTTCCCCTTCTCCGGGAGAGCATGTATGTTTCTCTTAGGGCCCTCCTTGTTTCTTAGCTTCTCTGGCGGTGTGGATTTAGGCTGCTACTCCTTTGCTCTAGGTCTAAAATCCATATTTGAATGAGTACATACCATTTTTGTCTCTTTGTGACTGGGTTACCTCACTCAAGATGGTTTCTTCTAGTTCCATCCATTTGCCTGTGAATTTCAAGATTCCATTGTTTTTTTCCACTGAGTAGTACTCCATTGTGTAAATGTACCACAATTTCTCCATCCATTCTTCAGTTGAGGGGCATCTAGGTTGCTTCCAGATTCTGGCTATTATAAATAATGCCTTGAAAATGGTTGAATAGATGTTTTTGTTGTATGAATGTGCTTCTTTTGGGTATATGCCTAAGAGTGGAATTGCTAGATCTTGTGGTAGTTTGATTCCCATTTTCCTCAGGAACTACCATATTGCTTTCCAAAGTGGCTGTACAAGTTGGCACTCCCACCAGCAGTGAAGAAGTGTTCCCCTTTCTCCACATCCTCTCCAGCATAAACTGTCAGTGGTGGTTTTGATTTTGGCCATTCTGACAGGAGTAAGATGGTATCTCAGAGTTGTTTTGATTTGCATTTCCCTGATGGCTAAAGATGTTGAGCACTTTCTTATTATTTGTCTTCAGCTGTTTTAGATTCCTCCATTGAGAATTCTCTATTTAGTTCTGTACCCCACTTTTTAACTGGATTATTTGGTGTTTTGGTGACTAGCTTCTTGAGTTCTTTGTATATTTTGGAAATCAGCCCTCTGTCAGATGTGGGGTTGGTAAAGATCTTTTCACATTCTGTGTCCTTTGCCTTACAGAAGCGTCTCAGTTTCAGGAGGTCCCATTTGTTAATCTCAGTGTCTGTGCTACTGGTGTTATGTTCAGGAAGCAGTCTCCTGGACCAATTCATTCAAGGGTACCTCCCACTTTCTCTTCCAAGAGGTTCAGTGTGGCTGGGTTTATGTTGAGGTCTTTGATCCATTTGGAGTTAAGTTTTGTGCATGGCGATAGATATGGATCTATCTGCAGTCTTCTACATGTCAGCATCCAGTTATGCCAGCATCATTTGTTGAAGATGCTTTCTTTTTTTTTTTCCATTGTATAGTTTTAGCTTCTTTCTCAACAATCAGGTGGTCATAGGCGTGTGGGTTAATATCAGGATTTTCAATTCGGTTCCATTGGTCTACCTGTCTATTTTTGCCAGCACCCTATCTTGAAATCGCTTCTCCACATTTCTGTATTTTACTGTCCTGCTCCAACATAAGGAATCATAGTTTCCCTTCTTTGTCTGAGGATCACCTTGACCACCCATAGCTCTAACCCCACTGGAGAGGGACAGACATTAGAGTGAAAGGTACCAGTGTGTGTCACATGTGGTGGGCCTGGCTGCCAATGAACACCATTGCCTAGGCCTTCCCTACACTAGAGAGATGGTCTCCAACAACAGGCTCATAGGAGGCATGGGTGTACACCTGAATTTAAAACATCAACTAAGAATAAGAGGTGCAGTTGCCCTGTCTCCTATCAAACAGATCCTGGTAGCATCTGCCAAGCCTGTGTCTCCATCTCCAGTGCCAGGAACTGACTCAGATGCAGGCTTTAGGGGAGAACAGCAGAACCCTGGGAGACCTGTGGCCTGCCAGACATGCTGTTGGTGCAGGACTCTTTTTCAAGTGAAAGTGGAATTGGAAGCCTGAGGGAAGCTTCCCCAGCTGGGGAGACCCAACTAGTAGATGCTTCCAGCATGTTCCAGCATGAAGGTCCAACTTGGCAGAAGGTGTCTGCCTGCCAGGCTCCCACCCAAGGCTCTCTGCATGGGTGGCACTAACTTGGTCCTCACAGTACTCCATGTGCTGAGGACATGGGCAGGGCCTACAGGGTTTGGACAGAACACCCAGCCTTGGGGTACATAAGAGAACAAGGGTGGGACCCACGTAATGGGCAGCAGAACACTCTTGTCCCCAGGGCACCTAACTAGTGGGCTCCATGCCCAGCAGCACAAGAAAAAGCCTGCAATGTCAATTTCTAGTTTTCTTATCCATCAGGGAGGGAATGGTGGAGACAGAGTGGGCATTGCTGCTTCTTGCTTACTTCATGACTCCTACCCTTATTACTCTTCGTCACCAATGGAAAGAGTGACATAGGGAAAGGGAGCTCTCACCATAGATTTCCTGCCCTGTGTGGAGGGACCTCCATTCTGTGAACAGGGAGACTGACCCTCATCAGAGCCCTCGCATCTCTGTAACCCACTGCCCACAGAGACCAGGTCTTCCAAGGGCTGCTTCTCCAAAAGACCCTAAGCAGAGGACCTCTGTCTCCCTGTGTCATGGTGGTGTCATTCATCTTAGTCTCCCCTAGAGCCTCCTCCTGTATTTTTGTGACCTTGTGGCTCAGGTCTGCCTATTGGTTCTCTCAGTTTCCACTACCTCAGATGGAGTTGTTTCTCAAGAGAGTTCCTTTTCCTTGGTGGCTTTAGTTGTGGTCTCCACAGTGTCCTCATCCTGGACAGTTCATTGCAAAACCCAGCAGCTGGCATCTTGTGACCTGAGTAAGGCCTGATGGTAGGGCAACCAAGAGCTCCCTGGGGCCTGAGACCCCTGAGACCCTGTTCCTTTCAGGGAAGAATTGCTTGAGAGTACTTAGAGCCCCAGGGGAACCAAGACTTACCCAAACAAGACCCTTTAAGTGTCACTACAGGCCACGTTCAATGCCCTGTGATGTGACTACAGGCCAGTTTAGGTCAGGATACCAGGAGGGGTGATGCTTGGTCTATAGTGTTGTGACAAGGATGCTGGTCTCCATGGTGCCAGGTACCTTTTACTTTAGGAGCATTTTGATCCTGGAGGACAGGCCAGTTTGCTGTGCTATTTACTGCCCATTTGTAGGACAAGCTGTGAGGTGACTGGAAGACTTGCTAAATTTTAGAGATTTCTCCAAGTAAGATTGTGCAGCTCTTTCCCCTCTTGGGGTGGGGGGTCCCCATTGGTTTCCACACCGTGCTGACGGACAACTTAACTGCCTGTTAGGGGCTTGTCTTGGGTAAAGAACTGCCTCTGTGGCCCGGAGCTCCTCATACGTTCCCATGTTAGCGTGACCTCGTGAGTGGCAGGCATGCAGGGTGGCAAGCAGGAGCAGTCTAACCGGAAGGAAACTGAGTCCTGGGCCCCAGGGAAATGCCCAAGAAGGGCATTCTGGGAGTATGGGGGCAGAGGGAGTTTGGGGTCAGGCTCCCTAACTCTAAAGGGAGCAGGTTTAGCATGGACAGGCATGCTGGAGTAAATAGTATGTGAGGGGCAAGGCAGTGAGCAAATGGGATGTCACTTGTCCAACCCCAAACACTCTGACTTTTTCATAGCCATGTTTGTCACCTGTGAGGCCTTGCTTTCCCCCTTTATAAAAGGCACACTCTTGCAGGGTCATCCTCCCAGCTCCTGGGAGACTGACTGCTGACCTGGGTCACTTGACCTTACGCTGATGGTGGGAGGCCACATCTTGGACTGTGTCTTAATTCTTTTCCTTCAATTGCTCCTCACAGGAGAAGTGCTATCAGTACTGGCCGGACCAGGGCTGCTGGACCTATGGGAACATCCGGGTGTGTGTGGAAGATTGTGTGGTTCTGGTGGACTACACCATCCGAAAGTTCTGCATCCATCCGGTACGCATGAATGTCTCATATTGGCTTCTCGGGAGCTAGGTTGGGGGGCTTTACAGAGTGAAGAGCTGCCCTGCCTCACCCTACTCCCAGCATGGCAGGAACTCTCACTAAGGCTGCAGCTGCAGGGCTGGAGCATGTGACAGACTGGGACAGAGTTAGTGGACCAAGGACCTGAATCTACAGAGAGCTGGGCACTTTGACTCCCAGCAACTGTGCTAGGCCTCCCTAGGAGGTGGGTGAGACAGCTGGAGAGGTAGGGGATTCAATGGGGGGCCTTTCCCACTGCACCAATCAGACACTACGCCACCAAGCTGTACTCAGGGTCCAATATGATGTCTTACACCCTAGCATTGTGAAACAAGACTGTTTGTGACAGGGTCTCACTGTGTGGTCCAGACTGGCCTGGAACTCTGTGTATGGAGCACACAGGCTTCAGACTTATAGAGATCCATCTGCCTCTGCCTCCCAAATGATGGGATTAATGATGTGAACCACCATGTCCAGTGACAAGATTGTTTTATAATGGTATCCAAATCATGTTCAGAATCTCCCCCACATTTTCATGGGGGAGCCTCCAATGAAAATGCCTGTGAACAAAACAAAAGGATAAAATGAAGGCTTCAGGGATAGGGCATTTTATCAAGAACAAATGTAAAGCAATGCTGTGATTAGGTTGCACAATCCGAACAGAAGTTTCTAGAAGCCACTACAGAAGGTTTTGAAAGGATGGACTGAGGGTGTGGCTCAGTGGTAGAGCATGTAACCTAGCATGCTCTGAGCCATCCAAAAATCATTATCCCTTGCTGGCCTCTCTCCTAGACACACAGAATATACATGCATGCAAGTGTGCACGTGTACAGCACCCACACACCCACCCACACTCACACACACAGAGTTCTAAACACACTAGCACTGTCTTCTTCCACCATCAGAGTCAGAGGAACAGTGCTGCAAAGGCTTGCAAAATTTATGAGGGAGGGTCTGGAGGTCTCTAATGTGTAGGCTGAGCCTTCATCTTTTCTTCCCACACTGAATTTTTGAGAGTTAAAGAATATGCTAGTGTAAAAACAGGTTTAATTTTAAAAATAATAAAAATTAAAAGAAAAAGACTCAGGTCTCCAGGAGTGAGGTGGGACTGTCCAGACAGAGCCAACTGGCCCACCTCACAGCTGGAGTATCTGAGCATTAGGGCAAGCCTTGGGAATGTGTGGCTACAAGAATCTGGCCTGGGAATAACCAGCTATGTGAGCCCTTTGCCATCCAAGAGCTGTATGTACTCACATCTGGAACAGCACCCCTGTGTTCCAGGGTTCTCTGTGTTGGTGGACACTGACCTGGCATGGGCCCCCAGCTGTCCTTCAGGAGGAGATGCTGAGTGGTCAGGGTGAGATGGTCCCACCTCTCACTTCTTCCTTCTCCTTTGCAGCAACTCCCCGACACCTGCAAAGCCCCACGGCTGGTCTCACAACTACACTTCACCAGCTGGCCTGACTTTGGGGTACCTTTCACCCCCATTGGAATGCTGAAGTTCCTGAAGAAAGTGAAGACACTCAACCCCTCACATGCTGGGCCCATTGTGGTCCACTGCAGGTATGTCAGGGAGGGACATGGCCTTTGCAGGCAGCCACAATGGGGAGGTGGGGGTAGTGGCTAGTGGGACAGTGTTGGGTGAGCAGAGCTAGTACTGGTGAACATGAAGTTTCACAGCAGTACCACACTTGGTCACTGGAACACCTGCCCCAGTGATGTCCCAATAGAACCGCAATATGTAAGCCTCTTCAAAGCTGACAGGCCCAAGTTGGTGGCAGGCATGGGAACTCTGGGCGGGTCCACTGCCTTGCCCTCTCTACTGCCAGATACCCCAAGGATCACTCAGTTCCCATACTAGGACACAACCACAGTGGTGTTAACAAAAAGACAGTGTTTGGGGGTAGGAATAATGAACAAAACACACACACACACACACACACACACACACACACACACA